ACAAGCGAAACGTACAACAATACTTGAAATATTAACGACAGCGACTGAGCGCCAACGAGGCTTTCCAACAAGACTCATCCATCACCTCGCGACACCTACGACCTGCTTCTGCTACTCCTGCTCCTGCTTCTCCCGCTGCTATTGCTACTACTCCTGCTCCTGCTCCCGTTTTTGCTCTTGCTTCTGCTACTACTCCTGCTCCTGGTTCTGGGACTGCTTAGTGGTACTGCTCCTGTTCCTGCTTCTACTTTTGCTCCTTCATCTGATACTTCTGTTCCTGTTTGTGCTCATTCTTCTATTACTGTTGTTTCTGCTTCTGCTCCTGGTTCGGAAACTGCTTCGTGGTACTGTCTGTGTATTTGAATGTCTGCTTCTGGTACTGCTTCGGTGCTGTTCCTGCTTCTGCTTCTACTCCTTTGTTCCTTCTGATACTCCTGCTCCTTCTTCTATTACTGTTCCTGTGTCTGCTACTACTCCTGCTACTGCTACTCATGTTCGTTCTACAGCTACTGCTTCTGCTACTGCTACGTCCTTGATGCTTGTGCTACTACTTTTTTACGACCCGCAACGGTTTCTTCTAATCTCGTTTCTACCTTTACTGCCTCTGCTATTTCCATTCCTGCTATCACTCCTACTTAAATCCAGACGCTATTCTGTTCTCTACTAGGATTCTTGCTACTCCTACTTCTGCTGTTTCTGCTACTCTTTTTTTCTCTACCATTACTGTTTTTACTCCCAGCTACTACTCCCCCTGCTTCCGGTATCCCTGCTAGCACTCCTACGCTATCCTCCTTTCCTGCTACTCATAATTCTGCTGTTTCTGCTACTTTTTTCTACAATTACTACTTTCACTTCTGCTACTACTACCCCTGCTTCCGCTATCCCAGCTAGCAGTCCTACGTAAACCCAGACGCTATCCTCCTCTCCTGCTACTCCTACTTCTCCTGCTAACGACACTGCTTCTGCTAATTTCCTTTTTCTGCTGCGGGTGGAACGACCATCTCTCGCGGGGGTCGTTAGGTGACGACTCCCGGCCTTCCTTCTGATTGGCTGGCGTTCGGGTCGTTAGGACGTGTGTAACTGCCGGTCTGTTTGGGCTCGGGATGGGCTGGCTGTGTCTTTTGTCGGTCTGTTCGTCTATTTGTTTCATATTTACTGATATGCACACACACACACACACACACACACACACACACACACACACACACACACACACACACACACACACACACACACACACACACACACACACACACACACACACACACACACACACACACCACACACACACACACACACACACATATATATATACAGACACATACTCACGTGTGTGTGCTGTATATATATACCTACGTTGAATGCATATTCCCCTTTCATTAGTTATGCATCTCCCATTTATCAAGTGTTTCCCGTCCATCTTTTCCCTTCTCGTGTCCCCTCTTTCTCTTGACATTTCTCGTTTCGTATCCCGTTTCTAATCTTCCATTTTTCTTTTCCTTTTATTTTTTTAGTGTCTCCCCTTCCTCTCAATTTAGCTCGCTCGCCTTCATTCCATTTATCACGTCTTCCTTTTCGCAAACAAGAGAAATAAAATGTTTTGCTTTCTACTAGAAAATGGGGTTTGAATGTAATTCCTGATTTGTTATTTCAAGTATTCTTGTTTATTCAATTGCGTGATTGTATAAAATGTTATATATATATGTGTGTGCATATTTATGTGTGAATATATACATATATATATATATATATATATATATATATATATATATATATATATATATATATATATATATATATAATATATATATATATATATATATGATATATATATATATTATATATAATATATATATATATATATATATATATATATATATATATATATATATATATATATGTGTGTTGTGTGGTGTGTGTGTGTGTGTATGTATGTATATGACAATTTTCTTTCTTTAAGTTAATTTTTCTTTTTCTGTTTCTTTGAGATCTTTCATTTTATTCATTTATCGTTATCTAACTTACATTCAGTATTTTGTCATATTTTTGTGCATTTTAAAATTCGAACTTTCATGAACCTAACCAGAAGCAAAGACAGCTGAAATACATCAAAACTTAGGAATATTAGAAATAAACAACAAAAATTATGTTATATACATGTCTTTATTTCATACAGTTCAGTAGAAAATACAACATAGCAATTATGAAGACATTGGTAAACATACACACATACACACATTACAAAATATATATATATAGACTTTTACATTAATATCGGCGCCCTTGACAACCTTGTTACAAAAGCTGATAAATAGGTATAAATAATAAAAGACTAAAGAAGCAGAAAACAAAAATAATAAGGATGATAAAATTATAATAAAAAAGAGCAGAGACGTGACAAAATCATGTTCCATACATGTTCTGCGACTCTTTTTCGTTGTATCGAGATTGTTGTGCGGAAGGAAATGACGGTGAAGTAATAATCAATCTAAGTTAATCATAATTAAAATATTTTCATATATTCCTGACCATAGACATGAAAATCATACAAAACAATAATAATAATATAAATACCGCAAATAATAATATTGACATTCATAATATTCATAATAAGACAGTAACGATGTCGATTATAATAATGATGATAAGAAACTAATAATATTAGTCAAAATAACAGCAATCATAATAGTAATACCAGCATTACTTACACCAGCTCATTTTCCAAACACAGGGAGAGGGGAGAGAGGGGGTGGGGACGGGGGAGCACACAACCCGCACTTTCTGTAAACCACTGCTTGGGGGGTCACCGGAAACCTATAATGCCACAGTACTGAAAAAAATTTGTTTCCAAACGATATACTTTTTTCACACTGAATAATAATAATGATAACACTTGCATTTGTTTTGTTATTTTTCATGTTCTTATTTCTTTTATTTATTTGTTTATGTACATAGTATTATTCAGAGTGACGAGATATGTTGTTCTTACAGCCGAAAAAAGATAAAAAATTTAATTAAAAATACTTACATATACCATTTTTTCTTTCATTTTTAAATTCAATTTCAAAACACTTGAAGCATCAGAGATCATAACATTTATTTCAATAATTTTTTGTCCTTAAGAGAAGATTAGTTTTTTCTTAAACAAAAAACGAAAATTTTATATTAGCATCAATGCAAAAAACATGACTAGAAGCGATATAATGATTTTTCATTATTTTGCAAGGCGCTGAAAAAGGGGGGAGGGGATTTAAGTGAACAGAGAAGCATTATTCATCTTTTTGCTTGGTTACATCATAATGATAATCATAATAACAATTGCAATAGTGATAATAACGATAATTGTTATCCAATAGTAACAAGTTATGGCACAGAATTAACTTGGAATCATAGAATTATTTTAAAATATTGATTATTCTGAGCAAAATCAATTACTGTTTGTTAATACAATGAAAAATAATAATTGACAGACCTATAAATGATAATGATAATGATGATAATAATAGTAATAATATAATAAAATAAAAAAAATAAAAATAAGAATTATAATAACAATAATAATAATAATAATAATAATAATAATAATAATAATAATACCGATGATGATGATAATAATAACAATAATATTGATAATGATAATAATAATAAAATCAGAAAAAGTGTTCTCAAAATGAAAACAATTGAAAGAAACGCGGGAAAATGCATTTATTGGCCACGAAAAAGTATGGACCAATCCCTGACTAATTTATATCACAGATAAATCACAGGAACCTGTTCTTAATTAATAAAAATAAAAACAGGTCAATCAACCAAAAAACATCTAAAGCAAACCCTTTATGACTAATAATAAAAAATATAAATAAACAATAAAAAACGAGAATTAAATCGTGGAAGCACATTTATGTAAATAAATAAAAACAAATATAAAAAACTATTAAAAAAAAGAGAAAGGCATCATTGATATATATCTATTTCTAAATTCTATATAACTTTGAATAATATCTAATTTGCACGATATGCCTTTTTATTTTGTAAGTGGCTACATTAAAGATCTTTTATTTCTTTATTTATACTTATATTTTGAATGAGCCACATCCTTGTTTAAAAAATAATAACAACCACGCACATCTAATTCTTTTGTTTTGAATACACACAAAATAAATCGTCTTTTTTGCCCTTTCTGTCGAAATTGCAAAATTGATCCGAGAACAATCCAGCTACTGATTGCACGACTACATGTATGCAAATAAATCAATGTTAGATATTTTTTCAACCACATATTCCACATTTTTTTCTATTCTATTTGACTTAATTTGTTTCTTCGTCATTGGATTTTGTCTGCTTTTTTATTTTTTATTTTTTGTTTATTTTTTATTTGTATCTTTACTTCCAAGTTCAGCACGAGTTTCCCACGGAGGTCAACTGCACGACCCGGAAGCCAAAACATGACCTGGAAAATTGCGAGGAACTGCCAGGAGTATACAACCTTTCTTTATGCATTTCATTTGTTGATTTGTTTATTCATCTACTTCTATTGTTTGTTTGTTTGTTTGCTGGAAGAACACGAGTCACTGGAACTTTTTAAATATTTTTTAATGATATGTTTTATTTCGATGTCCGTTTGAGTTTCCTTTGAACACACTATCGCATTCTTCTTTTTTCTTTCCTTTTTGTTCGCGACTATAAAACATAAAACACAACCGATAAAGGAGATGGAACAGCGCTACAGGAGAGTAACTGTTTCTTTGCACACTGAATTCCATATTAGGAACACACTAAGGGTGACTTTGCGTATGTAATGTTCCGCCTTCGAGTCACCGTCCAAATGCATGTTGCGGGAGAGAAACACCACATTACATTGTCTTTCGGTTTTCTTTTCTTCCCAAAGTATTTTTATCAGAATCACACATTTTCCTCCCTCGTTCTCACTCCAAACTCCGGGCGGAAACTGAGAGCGGAAGGGCACTCGCGTTCGGGAACTTCACTCGACGTAATCCACGGTGTAGCCGAGGTTCTTGCGCTGCAGGAACATGAGGACCTCCCAGAAGGGCGGCCGCTGGCGGGGGTTGGGCCTCCAGCAGGCGGCCATCATGTCGTACATCTCGCGCGGGCAGAGCGGGGGCTGCGGCAGCAGCATCATGCCGGAGCCGTCGCCATGGTAACAGTGGGACACGTTCTCCAGGACGCCGTCGTCGCTGAGCTCGTCGAAGGGCTGCTGCCGCGCCATCGTCAGGATCTCCCAGAGCGTCACGCCGAAGGCCCACACGTCGCTCTTGGTGGAGAAGCGGCCCTGCAGGATGGCCTCCCACGCCATCCAGCGGATGGGCAGCAGCGCGCGCGAGTCGCTCAGGCGGTAGTAGTCGCTGGAGTAGAGCGGCCGACTCATGCCGAAGTCCGAGATCTTGACGCAGAGGCCGCCGCCCACCAGGCAGTTGCGCGTCGCCAGGTCGCGGTGCACCACGTTGAGGCTCTCCAGGTACTTCATGCCCGAGGCGATCTGCGACGAGATGTAGATGAGCGCGCCGTAGCTGAGCGCGGGCGGGCCGTCGTCGCCGTCGCCGGGCACGGTGAAGTTGACGGGCGTGACGGTGCCCTCGCCGCGGTGCCGCCGCAGGAACTGGTACAGGTCGCCGTGGTGCATGTACTCGAGCAGCATGCAGAGCGGGTCGGCGCGCGTGACCACGCCCACCAGACGCACGATGTTGGGGTCGTCGAGGCGGCTGAGGACGCGCGTCTCCTGCCGGAAGTCCTTCTTGGTGGCGTCCTTGGCGCCGGCGCGAAGGCTCTTCATGGCCACCAGCCGCGGCCCGTCCGCCTCCTCGATCTCGCACAGCTGCACCTGGCCGAACACGCCCTCGCCCAGCGTCTCCAGCACGCGGATGCGGTGCTGCGGCACCTCGGCCACCGGCGGCTCCTTCCCGCCGGCGCAGGCGGCGTCGGCCACGGCGTAGATCACGGAGCCCGTCACGCCCTGGATGTTGGACGCGTGGCACAGCTGCGGCGCGGCGTAGTACTCCTGCTCGGGCGGCGGCGGCATGGCGGGCACGGGCGGCGGCAGCGGCGAGTCCTTGCGCGTGCGGATGGTGGGCAGCGTGGAGGGCGGGCGCGTGAGCGGCACGGGCGGCGGCGGCGAGTACACCTCGGAGAAGGGCGGCGGCGGCGTCATGTTGACGTCGGGCACGGCGTAGTCCACGGAGTCGTCGGTGTCGAGCGGCAGCGGGCACTTGAGCGGCGTCTCGGAGGCGGCGCCGCCGGGGCCCAGCGTGTAGTAGCCGGGGTTGTGCAGCGGCCCCTTGAAGGGCTCCTGGTACATGGCCGCCGCCTCCTCGTCCATGGCCACGTGGCCGTACAGCTCGCCCTTGGCGCGCGAGTAGCCGTTGGCCATGGGCGAGAGGTTCATGTTGATGTGCAGGTCCTTCATCTTCATGGACACCTTCTTGGCGTCGACGCTGTTGATGGTCGACGGCGGCGTCTTGGCCTTCTTGGACAGCCGCACGCGGTAGTAGACGACGCACAGCGCCACGGGCACCACGGTGAAGATCACGCCCAGCGTGGCCAGCCCGCCCACCAGCAGCCCCGACGAGGACGAGTGGGCGGGCACGACGGGCTGCGACTCCTGCACCTCCTCGCCCTGCACGCTCTTCTCCTTCAGCGTCTCCGTCGGCAGCGCCAGCGACTCCTCGTCCGTCAGGTTGCAGCCGCAAGGAACTACGAGACAGGAAGAAAGATTATGGTTAAGGGTCATTTTTCTCATGGATAATCATTAATCTAATTCAGCGTTGATAATCCACCAATACTACTCCACTTACGACACCAACACAACCCCCCCCCCTCAAAAAAGGACCACTGCCCCCAACAGCAGTAATAATAAGACCAAGAAGGCCCAAAGGCCAAAAGCAGCAGCCAACTGACCCGAGTCGAAGGCGACCTCGGAGACCATGATCCAGCGCAGCGCGAAGTAGAGCTCCAGTTTGACGAACTTGGCGGCGGAGTTGCGCAGGCGGATGGTGACGTTGCGCGCGGTCTCGAAGATGCGGTCCACCACGTACTCGTACTCGACGGCGGGCTGCGTGTCGTAGCGCTCGCCGCCCACGCTGAAGGAGACGCGGGCGTGGGAGAACACCTGGGGGAAGGGGAAAAGGGGGATTAGATCGGTTTAATACATGGGGAACGAGGATAGGTATTCTTTTCAAATGTTTGTTTTCTTTTTTATAGTAACAGTACAAAGACAAAATTTTATCGAAGACAGACAATCTCTCTCTCTCTCTCTCTCTCTCTCTCTCTCTCTCTCTCTCTCTCTCTCTCTCTCTCTCTCTCTCTCTCTCTCTCTCACTCACTCTTGCACACACACACACACACACACACACACACACACACACACACACACACACACACACACACACACACACACACACACACACACACACACACACACACACACACACACACACACACACACACACACACAGGTAAGTACAACAACCAGCCCCCTTACCTGAGTGTCTCTAGTGAAGAAGTTGTTGGTGTAGATGTGGACGGCCGAGAAGTTCCTGACGGAGTCGAACTCGAACGTGATCTCGACGGGCCGCGTCTGCCGCGTGTCGTTCTTCCAGCCGATCCACTCGTAGCCTGGAGGGGGAGAGGGGAGGAATGGTCAGAGACAGGGTGATAAAGGGAGGAAGAGGGAAGAGGACCGTGAGAATAGTCTGTTCACATGTAGTCTGGGAGAGGGAAGGAAGAGAGACAGGGGGATAAAGGGAGGAAGAGGGAGAGGGGCGTGAGGATAGAATGTTCACGCGTAGCATGGAGGAGAAGGGAGGAGTGGTCAGAGACAGGGAGATAAAGGAAGGAAGAGAGAAGAGGGGCGTGAGGATAGTGTGTTCGCTTGAATCCTGGGAGAAGGAGGGAAGAAAGATAGGGGGATAAAGGGAGGAAGAGGGAAGAGGGGCGTGAGGATAGACTGTTCACACGTAGTCTGGGAGAAGGAAGGAAGAGAGATAAAGGGATAATGGGAGAAGGATGTATATATATATGTATATATGTATGTATGTATGTATGTATGTATGTTTGTATGTATATATGTATGTATGTATGTATGATGTGTGTATGTGTGTATGTATGTAGATATGCACGTATGTATGTTTGTCTGTAAGCCTTCATCTGCATGTACAGAGACTGCAAGAAATCCGCTTGCAACAAAAATATGCAACATGAATACCAACTGCTGTGCATTCAGGTAATCTTTTTCACTTTCCTTTTTTGAGTGCGAGGAGAAAATAAAATAAAATAGTAAGCCCTTTGCTTGATGAGTTCCATTTGCCCGAAAAGAAAACGGAAGTTGAAAGCCTTTGCAGTTATACTTTTTTTTTCTTTCTTTTTTTTTACAAACACTCGTAAAGTGAATTACTTTTCTTGTTTTCTGTTAATTCTCGTTATTCCGCGTCCTGTTTTCGTTTCTCTCTCTCTCTCTTCCTTTTTTTCCTCCTTTCTTCTCAATGTAATCACAAGAATATATAGGCCTATATATTTTTCTCTCTTCCTTTTATCTCTTTTTATGCTCTATTACTAACCCCCCTCCCCCTCCCCAAAGCAACAGTGCCCTTGACCTCCCCCCCATCCATCCCACCATCCCACCTTTATCTCCCCCCTCCCCCAAACCCCCACTTCCTTCCCCACTCCCTCCAACGTCCTCCTCCCCTCCATCCTACCTCCTATCCTCCCTCTCCCTCAACTCCCCTTCCCCCTTTCTCTCCAACTCCTTCCCTCTCCCTCCAACTCCCTTCCCCCCTCTCCATCCTACCTCCCATCTCCCCTCTCCTTACCTCCACTTCCTCCCCTCTCCCTCCACCCTCCTTTCCCCCTGAACACGACCGGAATTTCGGGTAAGCGAAGGGCACGCCAGAGGAATATTAAGACCGCCGCGACAATGAAACTTTTCACACTCCCCCCCCTCCCCTCCTTCCCTCCCCTCCCCCCACTCTCCGCACTCCCCCCCCCCCCCCCATCCCGCTATCTCCCCCTCCCACCCATCTCTTTCCATTTTCAATTTTGTTTTTTTTCTCTCTTTTTCCTAATGCTTTTTTTCTCTCTCTCTTTTTCGTATTTTTTTTCTAAATGTTTTTTTCTTTCTTTCTTTCTTTTCTTCTTCTTCGTCTTCCGAGTGTTTCTTTTTCTCTTTCGTTGTTTCCCTTGTCTAAATATTTTACTTTATTTGTTTATTTTTTCTATTGTATTTCCCTCGTCTCTTGTTTATTGTTTTATTTATCTATCTGACGATCTGTGTGTGTGTGTGTGTGTGTGTGTGCGTGTGTGCGTGTGTGTGTGTGTGTGTGTGTGTGTGTGTGTGTGTGTGTGTGTGTGTGTGTGTGTGTGTGTGTGTGTGTGTGTGTGTGTGTGTGTGTGTGTGTGTGTGTGTGTGTGTGTGTGTGTGTGTGTGTGTGTGTGTGTGTGCATCTTTCCCTTACTCTCTCTCTCTCTCTCTCTCTCTCTCTCTCTCTCTCTCTCTCTCTCTCTCTCTCTCTCTCTCTCTCTCTCACACACACACACACACACACAACACACACACACACACACACACCCCACCTCTTTCTCTCCAACCCAAATTGAATACAATTCTCCATTTTCCCCTCACCTTTTCAACATTTTTTTCTTTTTTGCAACAACACGAACGCCAATTCATTATGCAAATTCGTCAGCGTTGTATTGGAGACTAATTCCCTGGGCGTTAGTGATCTCTCGAGCGACAAGGTTTAGTTAGGGAGAGAGGAGAGAAGGGAGAGAGGGAGAAAGGGAGGGAGGGAGAGAGAGAGGAGGAGGAGGGGGAGGGAGGGAGGAGGAGGGGGAGAGGGAGGGAGGGAGGGAGGGAAGGGAGGGAGGGAGGGAGGGAGAGAGGGAGAGGGAGAGGGAGAGGGAGAGGGAGAGGGAGAGGGAGAGGGAGAGGGAGAGAGAGAGAGAGAGAGAGAGAGAGAGAGAGAGAGAGAGAGAGAGAGAGAGAGAGAGAGAGAGAGAGAGAGAGAGAGAGAGAGAGAGAGAGAGAGAGACAAACACATACAGAAACAAAAATTCAACCAACCAAAGCCCCCCCCCAAAAAAAAAAAATCAACAAGCAAACACAAAATTCCCTCGACTCAAAACTTCACAAATAAAAATCAAACAAATCTCTCAAAAACAAACACACCACCCAACAAATACAAACAAACAAACAAACAGACGCACACAAAAGTCAACATCCCCGGAACTCCCGAAGATGGCACATAAAAAAAACGCACTCTTTATGAGCTCTCTCGCGCGCACGCACCCCTAGGGCCCCCAGGAGACCGACCCGCCTGTAAACGGGGAATGGACGCTAAAAACGAAAGTCATTTCAGATCTTCGCATTTAGATAAAAGGCGTGTGAAGAGGGGGGCGAAGAACGGGGGGGGGGGGCAATTTCCCCCTCTTTTTTTCTTTTTTTTTTCTCTCTCTTTTTTGTATCTCTCTGTGTTTTCTCTCCCTCTCTCTCTTTTTGTATCTCTCTCTGTCTCTCTCTCTCTCTCTTTTGTATCTCTCTGTCTCTCTCTCTCTCTCTCTCTCTCTCTCTCTCTCTCTCTCTCTCTCTCTCCTCTCAATCTCTCTCTCTCTCTCTCTCTCATTCTTTCCCTGCTCCTTCCTCCTCCGCCTTCTCCAATTTCTCTTCCCATCCAAATATCCTCCCCTCTTTTCCCTCATTCTCCCCCACTTTCCGTCTCTCCTCCTCTCCCTTTCCCCTCCCTTCTTCTCTTCTCCTCCTTACGTCCCTCATTCTCCCCTCCTCTCCCTCCCATTCATTCTCCCCCTCTTCCTCTCCCTTCCTCTTCCCTCTCTTTCCTCCCTCCCCCTCTCTCTCCTCCTCCTCCTCCCTCCTCCTCCTCCCTCCTTCCTCCTCATTTCTCCTCATTTCACGCCAGTTCTTATTCGATTGTGATCCTTTGCTCTGATAAGATTTTCACGGGCGCGCTAAAATGGGTGATTATGCGATTTGATGGTGAGCGAGATAGTGATGATAGTGACGGCGAAGTCGGCCTAGGAATCCGATGGTGATCATGTCTGTGATAGTGACTTTGATGGGGTGATGAGCGCGATGGTGAAGGTGATAGGGAAGCTGATGGTGATATTGGATTTGATGGTTATTGTGATTATAATGGTGAGTGTAAATCAATCGAATGGTAATGAGAGTAAAGAGAGAGAGAGAGAGAAGAGAGAGAGAGAGAGAGAGAAGCAGAGGAGAGAGAGA